TAAGCAGAAGCGTTCGAAAAAACAGACAGAAACCTTTGGCAATTTCGGACGCTACGGCTCTGATCGTTTTGAAACTTGCGAGATCAACCAGTTTTGGCACCAACCTTTCGGGATTACAGCCAAGCTGAAATCAATTCTTGCATGACAGTATTCAAACGTGCATTAGTCATGCGAGAAGACAAGAACTGTTCAGCTCAGGATCGATTCGAGAAAACCACAGTTCATCGTTATCTTTGCAGCACTGTAAAGCTGAAGGTAGGTTGTTGAAAAGAAATAAATCTAGCACATTCGCATTCGGCTACATCTCAGTAATAGTTAGATCTCTGTGCTAACAGGACGACTTTCCCGATTATTCCAGGTGACAAAGCCCCTTTACAGCATATTTCCCACATCCAGATAGCATTTGTACTGACTGTCTTCCCGCTATAACACATAGGCACTGGAGCAGCTTTTAATTTGGAGACTTTGCGTTTGCGCCAAGAAGGCTGGGAGACGGCTGAATTTTATTTAAAACACATGCGCTTTTTCCAAGAGGTGTTGTGACAAAGGAAAAAGAGGAGAACTATTTCCAAACCCGACATCATACAACTGCAATTCAAATATGCAAAAAAAAAAAATACTCAGCAGAGATTCTAATCTATATCTTCAAGTTGAATGCTTCATCCATTCACTAAAATGCTTTCTACCTATCTCAGTTTACTCAAGTCCGCTTTTAATGCAGTTTCTCAAGTCACAGCAAATTCGCACCTTTTTTTGTAGGAAGTGGACCATTTAAGGCGAATTTTGTGCCTCACTATCCAAAAAATAAATCTTATTTGCTAAATCCCGCATGAGCACATTCAAGTGAATTTTGCATCCCTTTCCAGCAAATTGTTAGAATATGGTATTCTCGCGCATTCAGATCAAACTTCTTTTTGCGTTTTTTGCAGCAATGCAATGCGAAAAACGCATATTGATAAGAGGTTGTCTGTGTGTCCGTGTGCCCGTGTGTCTGTGTGTGCGTCTGTCACGCACTTTCATCTCAGGACCTATAAAAGCTGCGG